ATGACCTAAGATATATGGGAGGCAAGGCAAGCAAGATCCTGAGGCAAAGGACTATCACAGCTGATTCCTGAAGGATATCCTAAAATATCTGCTAAAAAAATAGGTTTTTATTGCTAGTTAAGAACAACTGAAATGGAGTGAGGACTTAATATCTGTGGCCCTTGTTTTCTGTTGTGCACATAAGTTATCCTGGCTAGCCATTTGGACAGAACTCTAATGATTTAAACTTGATTTGGCATTTTTGGGGTCCACTTATTAATAGCACTTTTCCCTGATTTATAGTAACCTAAATGACTGCAGATTTTATGCTGTAGTCCTCACCCCCATTTCTGGATGATTAACAACTATACCATAACATAGAACTGAATCCATTCTTTTGAGACACTTTGCAATTAACGCTTTGCCATTAATTAGATTTATTATGATGAAATAGATCAATTAATCCAGTATTTTGCTTTTTTATTCTCATCGGGTTTTGATCTCTGCCTGTCTACGTCAGGTCTTTTGTTTGCTTGCTTCAGGAGGAAATCTTCTCTTTTGCCTTTGAAAACTTCCGTTACCTGGATGAATAGATCTGGAGCAAGAAGTAGATCATCAGTAGTAGTTGTTCTGTTTTTTTTGTACATGATGCCTAGTATGACTTTTGCTTACTGTTTGTGCTATTTTCAAATTTGTGAGAGACTTCTGTTTGATTCAAGTAACTTCTTGAAGCTCATTGTTCCTTCATAATGTTTTACTCTCTTCCCCTCCGCCCCCCCCCCCAAAGCAATAATCATGTTTCTGGAGACTCAAGAGGTTTTCTTAGCATGTAAGGTATGGCTGGGGGCTTTACTTCCTTATTTTGGTCTTTAGGAATATTCTTCATGTTACTAAAATCTTTTTAATAGGGTGTATTTACAGTTCAATAAATTTAACGGGGAGAAGTGTGTGTTGTGGGGCATGAACTCTTAGCATACAGGAAGGGGTTCCTTATATTTCATACTTTTACCTTACCAGTCCTATAATTTACTATTGTCTCATGGATGACTTCAGAAAAAAAGCTAATGACACGTGTCACACATATGACAAGGATTTCCGTGGTTTATTTCCCTTACCCTGCTTTCTCTGCCAAAAGGTCTGTATGTGTCCTGGATCAACATATACCTTCCCATCTCTCTTACTCTCCCTTCTCTTTCACTGTATTGAACTGTCTTGAGGATTTGCCCATCATTCAGACTGGGGAAAAAACCAACTGGTGCCAGCCATGAACACATTTCAGCACTTTGTCATAGGATTCAGGAATTTCGAAAATAACAAAGTTAAAGTTGATGCATAGCTGTGCATCTTCTACTTGGCATGTGTGCATAGTTCTGTGATAATTACATGATCAGGTACTGTTTAATAAAATACAGTATAGCATTGTAAGACTGGTTTTGTGTTACTGTGTTACTTGGGCATTGAAGTTCCTGTGATTCTAGGCACCACTCAAACATGGGCTGAAAAGATTATATGCAGTCCTAAATACAGTGTAAATATAGTCCTGTTGAAAAGAGGAAATATACATAGATGAGAAGGGAAGTACTAGGAATTGAGGGGGAGTATTCATACTTCAAGCATCCAACTCAGAGACCTAAATCAAAAGACTGATAGATCATTTCCACAGCTTATCCAGAGACTCTTTCAGAGGACAGTTTTGAATATTTCAGGAGTGATCAAAATCACTCTCAACAGAAATGTCTCTCTACTGTGTAGGAGGATCCATCTCCTACATCCCACTCTTGCCTACTTTACACACTTTAAAATAGGTGGTGAGTATACACCTTATTTGCTCATGGGGGTTGTAGGGGCATTTTGGTAAGCTGAATTTTAAAGAAAGCTTTGAAGGACAGCAGTGAAGTGTGTTTTCAAATATTTAAGGAAGTTTCCCTGAAGTGTAAGGTGCAAAACAGAAAAAGGCTCAAGAGGTTTGTTTGAAAATGTAACGTGGGTGAGAGAGGAGCTAGAAGCTGGACTGCTGACACTGAATGACAGGTGGGAGACAGGAAGGGAAGAGAGACAAGAATTCCAACCTTTTTTCTTTTATGTTGGTTTTTGTTTGGTTTTTTTTCAGTAAAAAGTGAGGGGTTTTGAAAGTGTTTTGGCCAAACACAAAGTAATAAATGGATCAGACTGTGTGATCTAAGGAACTTTTCAGCTTTACGTTTCCTAGAAGTTGGCCCAGCTTCAAATGCTAATAAACCACAGCTGTCTTCCTGAAACAATTGAGGAACAATAGGTGCATTGCTGATAAGGGAGGAAGGGCCTTGATGGCGAAGACAAGTAATCTATTACAGGAGAAGTTAGGGAGAGCTGTGGAGACAGTGATGTGTTCTCCAAGTGATCAAGTAGGAAAAAGGTCTTTGCAGCAGTTTTCTGAATGAATGTGAGATTAGGTTGTGTTTCTCAAAAGCAGAGAAGAAAACATAATGATGATGATGACAACCTGATTGAATGTTTCAGCTGATTGGAAGAATTAAGAAAAATACCATCTTGAAAATGTACTGAAAGTATCTGAAAATTATGAATATGAATCTTAGGATTTGGAGTAAATTTGGGATCTAAGGTGATGCTGGAGTTGTATCTGAGCAACAGGCAGGGTGATGATGGTGTAGCTGCACAGCTTTGTGTGTCATCAGCAATTAAGTTATTTATATGAAAACTTTAAAGAACTGTTCTCAAATATAACTCTATTGTTTACTATTTGGAGTTCTTCACTCCTGTGATTACTTCCCAGGTAATATTGCTTAGAATATTTCCCCACCTGCCACCAAGGACTGGACATTAATTGTTGGGATTGATTTGTAACGTTGCAGCCTGGCATGAAAAGTTGTGTTTTGCATTTGTTGGGAAGGCACTGATCTTTTTAGTTGGTTTACAGTAATAATGAATTGGTTTACAGTAATAATGAATAGAGTTCAGTAGTTTCTTTACAATTAAATTATGAAGTCTGCTAATAACTGTACTCCATAGTACTTCAGTAATACAATTAATTGACTCAGTTCCTCATTCTGATCCTTCCCTATGATGTAAGAATCCTCCCCAGGAGGAGGAAGCCTTCAGTTTGCTTAAGGCATTTGTAGCCAGGTCCCGTACCCAGCCACAGTCATCCTTTCCTTCCCCTTCAACATGTCCCACAACTCAGGCTGAGAAGGGGGACTGGGGAAAGGGCAGGGGAAATAGCATCTACTCTTGGCTACTTTTCCGCTGGTGCATAGTTGTATGGGCACGGTAGCAAAGAGAAGTGAATTAGAATTGTTTCTAGGTTTTTCTCATTTAAACCAGAGATGAGGCAACTTTAGCGTCAGGGAGGCGTAACCCAAAGCAAAAAAAAAAAAAACCTCAGCTTTTTATTTTCTTTCTCGTTATTTTTTACAACAGGTACATTACTACCAGCTGTTGAAATGTAAACCGTTAATTCATTTTTGCAAGAGCAAGAAGGAAGGCTGGCTGCGGCGTCCAGTAGTTAGGTGTCCAGATTAAAGTATTACAGTATGTAGCATGCTCAGGGAAGAGAAATTAAAAATTGCCTGTCCACATATATGTAACTGAGTGACAGCCAGGTTTTAGTCTGTAACTCTCTTGAGATAAAATAACCAAAATATGGCACTATATTCTAAGTGTGGTGTTGCAGGTTCTTTACCCTGTAGTGGTTTCTGACATGCATGTGGTGTACAAGTGGATATCCAACATTAAAATGGAAATCAAGATTTTGATACCTCTCCTGATCTAACTCCAGTATTAAGAAGACAAACTTTACCTTCTCCCATAAATTTTGGAGGTCACCTCTGCCTTGAATTTTTATGAATTGCCTTATAGATAAGCAGTCTAAGTAAAGTTAATGCCCATAGTTTAATGCATAGTGAATAGAAAACTTTATATATAGTATATATATATAGTATATTTCCCCACCTAGCAATAATAGCAGTTTGAGTCCTTGCCTCTCCATCAGTGCTGTAGACAAATCAACATCTCTTTCAATAGATTTCAGATGTTTGTGTCCTCATGTATCTTGGGATATTTTTTAAACTTACTGATTTATTTTCTATAAAGGGTCTTGCTGCATCTTAAGCTATCAAACAGGAGGTATGCAAGTAATCAGAGAGAGTTGATTCTCCTGAACATTTTTTTTGTTAACAGAAAATGTGTTTATTTTAATTTGTCTGGACCCCTTCCTGGGGTGGATGAGAGATGCTGCTACTGAAGTTTGGATGACAATACTCCACAGTGTAGCCTGTGGTTCTGCATGCTTTTTGACCATAAACCTGATACTCCTGTAGTGTCTTCACTGCTGTTGTACATTTCAGTGAGCAAACCTCCTTATAAAGTACACAGGTTTTTGCAACAGTGTATTTTCTTATCGGCAATTGTATATGATACTATGTGTGGGCTACCACGGGGTTTTATCAGTATTTTAGGTACCAGCATAAAAACCTACTTCAGTTAACACAGTGCCAGGCTAGAACTTCTCAAAGCTTTCAGATAGGCATACAGTGAATGTTTTTGTCGAAATAATACTACTTTCTGTCAGTTTTAGTGTTTTAAAATATGGTAAGATTATCTAATTTTAGTTTTTGCCACCATGTTACTAAGAGGCTAAAAATCTACTTGTGTAGAAATGAAGAGTTGATGAAGATAAAAATGTCACCTTTATTGATTTTAGACCACTCTCTTTTATTTAAAATAATAAACCAAAATATATATAAATACCAAAAAAGCAGCAGCATGCGGGAGGTGGGCAAACACATTGCAGGTACTCATGTTTGCCTGAAGGGGAATATGCTGTGATCAGTTAATGCTGTATAAACCTGTTGATGTAAGGTATCACTACAGACTTTGCGGTAGCTGCAGTGTTTTGTGGTAAAAATGTAAATCTTCTAATGATCTAACCAGATTATTTTTTTCTGGGACTAGTTTGGTGCCTCTTTAATTAGAGCTGTGTGCTGTGTTACCTGATTTCATCCTTTTTCTGTTTACATATTTAGGCCCTGCTGCTGGATTTGTTCAAATGGACCTCGATAGCCGTGGGGCCTGACCGAGTTGGTTTGACAATGGATAACTGCAGGTTTCTACTCTGAAGATCTGATTGTAGGCCTCAACCTAAATTCCTATTTTATTCCTCTATTTGCTCCTAATACATGAAAATTATCCTACAAAATGGTATTGTCTTTGAGTCTCCTGCACACCTACTTTAATAGCGTTCAGACACCATGCGCTTGGGATGTTGTCACAAGTTGTTAAAGTATTTCTGTTGTGTCATGTGCCAAAACGTCATGATTGCTGTGATTATTGTGTTATATTTTTACATTCGGTGGCTTCCTACCAAAAATGGAGATCATCACCTGTGTTTCCAGTCATTGTGGTATTTCTCTTAACTCAGATTTGGAAGTCAGAGTAAATGTTGTAACTCTATCCAGGTCACTTTTAAAGGTGTTAGTAGACTTGGCTTTATTTGCTGAACACAAATAAGATCTACTTTATTTTATTTTGCAATGTGCTGTTTTCTTAGTAGCCTACTACTGAAAGCTTTCAATACGATGATATCCTGTGATGTAGAGCAATAAAATAAGTAGGAAAAGGCAGTAACTTTTACTAGCTCTCCTGTTGCTTTTCTATTTCTGTGGCTGTGGTTACATGACATACTATACAGCTGAGAGTGAGGACATCTTGTATTTTTGTGAACCAGAGAATATCTTTTGTTTGCACTGTTGCCTGTCCTGTTCCATATGACCATGTTGCAGTTACACTGAGTACTAAAGTTAAATAGGTCTGATAGAAGCTGGAAAGCACTTTGCAAAATTACATTAAAAATAGAGTTTGGGGGGAAAATGGAAATGTTGCATCCCTGTGCATATTAGTGTTTATATTGTATAGACTTTTTAAAGCAAGTATGCAGCAATATAGAATAATTAAGAGATTAAAAGATCCAAAACTTTCTCTGTATATAAAGAATCAGAAATGCCTTTTTTTTTTCTTTGAAGGCTCATTACAGTGATATCTAAGAGCTTCACAGTATTTGGTGGGTTTTTTTGCATATTTCCAAAACAACAGAAAAGCACCATTGTCCTGTTTGACCGGGGAGAAAACCGAGCCACTTCTTTAGTCAGTAGTAAAGCTGATGATACTGATTGGGTTCTTCTGCCTTTTAACCTTGTGCCTCCAGCTCCATTCTCCCTCAAAAGCCAAAGCTTCCATTATAATCAGCTGCTTTGCATTTCTACGTAAAGGGGCCAAGGTGTTTCAGTTTGGACTCCCAGAAAATGAGGAAGCCAAGGTTGGTGGCCATCTGCCAGGTTGCTTGGTCTGACTTGCTTCTTCTGCACAGGAGCTGATTGCAAATACAGAGGCAGAACTGAGTGTTGCTATGTGGTGACCAACTGCCTTAACCATATGCCCATTGCTCTCTTCCTGTACTTGTCTGTCTTGTTCTCTGCACAACTTCTGGAGCAAACATATATACCAGCCTATAAATAATCTAATTCGATGCACAACCCTGATTCATTTCCTGAGCAGTGTGTGTCCTGTGCACACACGGTGGCCACAGTCACGTGGAACAATTCAGCAGACTATGAGGGCGAATATTAAGGCTATAAAGTGTTTAAACTTTGTAATGAAATAGAATTTTTCTAGTGCAGCTTATTGTAGCTAGAGATTGAAGTATTTTTAACAAGGAGCAAGACAAATTAATGTTTTTAGAACTGGTTTTAACCGTTTCCCTGTCTAGTATGGGAATGTGAATATTCAGCTTAATGAAGTACAGAGCATCAGCCGGTAGGAGGAGGCTGGCTCTGGAAGGAAGAAGGCTAGGTAGTAAATGCCATGGCTATACCCAGTATTGATTTCGAGTCTCGGGGACTCTTTGGGGAGAGTTTGCCCTAGCTTTTGTTTTCTCTTCAGCACTCCCAGCCCAAGAAATCAGCTCCTCTGGAGTTTCTCAGTGCAGTAGATGTTGGGGGTGTGGTGTGTTGCTGTAGTCTGCTAATAGTGTAAACAAAGAAATGGAAATCAAAGGTGGTGTTTTCTCCTATATGTATTTTTCTGCTAGAAGATAAGAGGAAGCACTCTTCAAGACTCCCCATTTTCTTCCAGATGAATTTCAGGGGCAACCCATGTGATCCTTGGTCTGAAAAATAGGTAGCAAAAACTTTTCAAGTTGGCTTACCCCTTTAATTTCTTCCCAGTCAAACTGTAGTGACCTGCTGTGTTTGTAAGCTACCAAGGATGGTGTGTAGATACTACAGACAGAGCAGTGGTGCTGAGAATCACAAGCTCATCTCTGTATCTTTAGACTTGATTAAGGTGATAGTTAGGTATTTTGTTTTTCTTTCCAGAGAAATCTTGCCAGATCATGGGCTAGGTTTCAGTTTTTGTTAAGTGTTCTACTTTCTCCATGGATGGCGCTTGAGATTTGGTGACTGGGCTAGCAATTTGTTATGGGGAAAGTAAAGAAACCTCATGCTTTGTTTTTGCATATTTTTTTTTTAATCTGGGTCATGCAGTCTTTTCCCACAACATGGCAAATTCAGATGTCCTGTAAACGGCACTGGAGATGATACTGAGATACATGGGTAGTTAGGAAGATTTTGGTCGAGCCATTCACTGAAATTCATAGAAGTCAAAACACTTGCAAAAGTACGTCAGTTCCACTGGTGTTTTGATGTAAGGAAAAAATGAAAACCCTCCTTTTAACCCTTTCTTAAAACGAGGATCAAAGTTGCACAGCTGCAGAGAAATTGTGGAAGCAGGAAGAATCAGTCTGTGTAGGGCAGAATCACCTTAGGCTGGTATCTCAACTCAACACTTTGTATCATGAAACCATGGCCTGAAACTACTCCCTGTCATATCAGATAATATTATACTTGATTTATTATGTTACTTCATCTTACGTATTGTTTCTAACCTTTTGCAGGGATTGTTTTCCTTTTCTGGTTGCTGTTTGTTGGTTTAGGGTGGGGTTTTTGGTTTGGGGTTTTTTGGGTTGCATTGTTGTGTTTCTTTTTCCCCAAGCACCTAGTGTGAGGGAGCTCTGATCCTTGACTTGGCTTCCAGGCACTAGGATAATACAAGTAGTAATCATACCTGCTGCTAAAAATTTTCTACCTTATTTTCATTTGCATTTGTTTGCCTTCAGCTTCCAGTCATTGATTCTTGTTATGCCTTTCTCTGACGGATTAAAGAGCTCTTTAGTACTCACTATTTTCTCCCCAGGAAGGTGCTTTTATCCTGTAATCATGTTACTTCTCAATCTCCCTCTTCCCCCCCTCTTTTTAAGATAAACAGATTGAGCTTTTTATAGTTTTCATTATTTTTTTCACATTCTCAAATCATTTTTGTGGCTCTTTTCTATTCCTTCTCTGTTTTTTCTATTTAAAAAAGAGACATAAACCTGTATTTTTCTAGTCACATACTTAATTTCTTCACTAGTTATGCCTGTGCTAGCATGGTCAGAAACTGATGGTTTTGCAAGATCAGATAAACAGCTACTTACTATGACTTCAACACATCTGAGTATGTAATTATTAGTGACAGAAAAGGATGGATCATTAAAAAACATTTAACTGCTTCATAAGCTTCAGAAGGGCTATCAGACCAGCAACAGTGGGTGTACAGGAGGGGTTGCAAAAGTATTTGTGTTGAATCTTTTAAGGAGACAGAAGTGAAATGAAACTAATAATCTTTATAGTAAAGCAACAAGAATACATCAAAACCCAAAGTGTTATGGATAACACAGTAATAAGTACTTGCCAAAATTTTGTAGGTTTGAATGCAAAACCTTTGTTAGTAACAGACTGTGTGGGTCTTGGAAAGAGACTGAATAGACGTGAATATACACATCCCTTACATCTGTTTAATCCCATAAGTAGCCACTTGATTATATTTTGAAACCCTGGAACAGTTATGTGACCTGTTATGCTGTAAAAGAAAAAATAACACAGTATCAGGAATATCTTTTGTTATAAAAGCTGTCATCATTAAGTCATGTGAGTTCAAATAATCAAAATCCAGAGCTTCAAAGAGGCTCTTGAAAGTTTTACTGCTTCGGTATTTCTTACCAAAGGAGTGGCTATTCGCTTTGATTTTTATCCATGCTGTAGGACAAGGGTGAGTTAATTTACCCTAAGGAGACTAAGGAGATGCCTGCATGGTCAAAGCATCTCAGCCTACCCAGTGACTTTTATACGTAACATGCATATCAACGTCTGATGGAATCCACACTCCCAGATCCATGGAAACCATCAGGTTTTCATTACATTGAACTACAGACTGTTTAAACTCTCAGTGCTGCAGATCTGTTTAGTGCAAGTTTGTCCAACTTTGTGTCTGACACAAATTTGAGGTCACCACATTGACTTTCTATCCGAACTGTCTTGCTTTTTGACTTTGAAAAAAAACGATGCCTTTCCATTGTGGCAGCATTCACGCAGTGAAACTTGGGCATATTCAGTAAGGGACTTAAATTTGCTTCAGCAAAATTAAAGTTCGTAGAAACATGGTAAATGAGAAAAAGAAGGGAATTAAGAGAATGTAAAAGACTTAAAGTCCTCTAAGACTCCTGAGAAAGGAGTGAAGGTGAATAAGGAAAGAATAGAAAGCCAAATGGCCTTGAGTTAAGAAAGCACTAATCTAAATAAATTTAGACTACAAGTTAATGAAAAAGTTCAATACCAAGATTCTGCTTGGGGAAGAAGTAGTCTCCCTGCATTGATGACCTGACAGAGCTCTTTTCAAAACAACTGTCTATTGTTGGAAAGAGATGAGAGAAGTGTGCATTCCCTTGAATGCCTTTTGGTATCACAGGCTTAGTCTATACAAAGTATGTAATTTCTTACATCCTAGGTTGCCTCAGTTTCTCAAGTCCTGGAGTAGAGTCCTTACATAGAGATGACAGCACTGGGAGAGAAGACAATAGAAGGAACAGGATGGTTAATTATGATAGAAGCTGGACACAGTCTGTAAGAATATTAAGATGACTTCAATTCTCTGAATGTCCGTTTAAGAGGTGATCCTCTTTCCTGAACCAGTAATAAACTGGGATGGCTGCATATAACTGGTGTTTAACCAGTGCAGCACCCACTGGAGTATAACATCCACTGGGTAACTATTCTGGGGGTGTGGAGACAGGTGTGGTGGCTAGAAAAATACTTTGCCATTAAATAATGCTACTGATCGGTACTTGGTGAGCAGGCACAGCTGCCACAGTGCATTTTCCAGCTTATCTTTGCACCAGAGTATGGGGAAAAAGAGGAGAGAAAGGGAACAGAAAGGAGAAAGGGCAGCATTTTTTGAGGCTTCTTCTGCTCTTCCATGATATGTTCTTTGCCCTCCTTAAGTGATTCACTCTGAAAACTTGTAGTACTTGTAACCTTCCTTGAGCACCTTATCACATTGGGAAGTTGCTGAATATGTTGACAGTTCCCCAAATGAATGAGAAACTCTCCATTGTCTGCCGTTGCGTTGTCAGGGATGAGACAGACACTGCCCAGTGACAAACATATACACCGGGCTGTATTCATCCAAAGGTCAAGACTGTCCTGTCAAACTATGCAAGTTACTTTTTGAAGCTGTATTTCCTCCAACAGTTCATGTAACTGCTTGTACGCAGTATAGATGTCATGGTAGATCCTGTGTAGTTACCAGATAGAGCAATGCATGCCGCATCCCCTATTTCTGTGGATATCCACATCCCATAAATTCACATTATTTTCCTGTTTTGTGGAGATAATACTGTGTTAGGATTTCTAATATCAGGGTCTGTGTTGGTGTTAAGGTGTGTTCTACATATTCAGAAGCAAGTGGTTTAGCCTGTGTTGCAGGTATGGATGGAGTCCTGTACAAAGGATCAAAGTACAGGTCAAGAGCAATGTTTGTATATTGTGTATTTTCAGAAAACTTATAGGAATAGAAGCTCTATCCCAGCGCTATACCTGGCTCAAGGAATCTTTCCAATTTAGCATGCTGCATTGAGGGCTATCCATCCCTGGATATGAGGCAACATAACGTGTTGAATCTTCTGGGCTGGATAAAATAGGAAGAATGGAATCTCAGGTATTTTTCATCATTTTAGGCCTGGTTGGATTCTGTCTGTTCAGGTGTAGAAGTGGTGTCAGCTTCAGAAACTTACCTGCCTCTAGACTGAAGTGAGAGAAGCTGTGTACTAATGCCTCTAGAGGAGAGTGTCTATGAAGGTGGGCAGCAACATTGTGAGGTTATTAGAAGCAGCTGATAACTCTTATCGTGGTAGTGGACTTGAGTGTGCAATCACATAAATAGTCTGGAGATTTTGGAGAGGGATGGAATATTTGAATCAATGTTTCCAGAAAATTAAAGGGATAAATGGATGTTACACTGCATGTTGTGCTCTCAGCAGATTAAGCATCTCAACAGGTCAATGACTTCAGAAATAGTGCAGTTCTGGAAGAGCATTTCTTCAGCTGCTTTTTGCTGTTGAAGCTGAACACAGTTCCCGTCTGTCTGAAACTCTGGAGGCACTTGAAGAAGTTATGTACTTGTAGATAAGGAATAAGATGCTAAAGGAATCATAAATGTCATAATAGTAAATAATTTACATTACTGTTACTATGAAACAGGTACTTTCTATACACATTTTCACTGTAAGAAAATGTTCATAGCATACTGATCATCAGAAGAAAAGTCCACGCTGATGTATCTTCATCAGTTTTTCCCACTTTATGACCTGAACAGCACGTACAGTATACGCTTTTGCTATGGAAATAAGTTTTCTTGGATACTTTACTGTATAACAGCTAATTCCTCAAAAGAGTACACATTCTAATGTTATCCATTATACAGATAAAAGCACTGCGTAAGTGCTGAGCCTGATTGAAGAACATGTCAGCTCTAGAAACGATGGAATTGTCTGCAGGGCTCATATGTCAACAAAAATCAGCTGGTTCACACATAAAGCCTGGCAAGGAAATTACTGCAGTGGCACATTTGCCATCTCTGCTCCCTGCCTGCCTCTCCCAGACCCTTTCCTTGAGTCAGCGGAGGCTGCCTTGTCTGGCTGCCGTTAACACTTCACAGTTAACACTCACACATATAGCCTAGCCAGCCAGTCATCCATGCTGAAAGGGCAAATGGCCTTCTGAAGCCCTGTTCGCTAGTAATGCTTGCTAATAGAAGAGAGACAGCAATATATGTGGATTACTTGACATAGTCTGAGCAAATCCAACCAGAAAGGTAAAGCAAAGCACATTCCGTGCATTGTTACTATTTGGAGACATGTTAAGTCTCATTTCTTTGAATGGAGTCTTTCTCTTCCAGAAATTATTTTAAGGAAATATTTGAAGTATCTCCTGAAAATTTTAAATAAGACACCAGAGGAAAAAAATTGGTTACAAGTCTACACCTAATGAGCAATTGAGAATTGTGCTCATCTGGGGTGTGTAGAGGCTGGCACTGCAGCCTCAGGAAAAGGGCAAATACAGCCAGTGCTTTTCCCAAATGTACTGTGAACAACCTGCCTGCTGTATGGCTGGAAGTGTTGGAAAACAGCAGTGATAAGCCGAATCACCAGCAGTTCCAGCATGTGCCCAGGTGCTCTGTCTCTGCAGATGTTTTGCTCTCATTTTGAGCTGGAAATGTAACAATTTTATTGAGAAAGGTTTTCAGATCTCATTAAAAATAGCCTAACAGTAGCTTTGGATTTGACTATAAAGCTAGTTTTCATTGTGCCTGTTTCCCTGTAATATTCCCTCAGTTTTGACCTGAAGAAACAATGATCATCTCTCCTTGGGAGGGAGGATGGAGTGACAAAATCTGGAGGCACTGTATCTCTTCGTTGTCAAAGCAAGCTATGAAGTCTTGTGCCTTCCAGCCAAAACCACTGGGAGTAAGCAGTGTCCTTCACAGAAAGCAAAATCTGTAAGAGAAGGTGGTGGTGAGGAACAGCAACCTTCTTGCCCAGGGGATGTGTGCTGCCCTGCATCTTGGGTCTCCTGTGTCTCCTGGAATTGATGCAACTTCTTTTCTCACCTCTGTCAGCAACCACAGCAATGAAGTAGGCAGAGACTTTCTAAGGTCTGGCTCCTTATATACTGTGACTTAAATTCTGCTGAAGGAGTCTCACCAAGGCATCTCACAAGGTTATTTTGGGAGCTGCATCTCGCTCTTGATAGGCTTCACTGCCAACCAGGTGGTTTGTACTTCTTGGGATCTCTATCCTTGTTTGTTTTTGCTGGAAGTCTTCAGCTGTGAGCTGCACGGGGAATGAGCTGAAGTGAGAGGATCATTTTAAATACAATAAAACTGTTTTCATCATTCACTTGGAACTTCTTTGTTCCTACTCAGCAATACACTGGTTAGAAAACAGGTGTGTCTTTGGAGAGGCCTTCTCTGTTACTTCTAAAACAAATACAAACCGAAAGGATGCTTTAAAAAGAGGTTGAGTATACGTAGCTGATGTTCCCATCCAAGTTCAGCTTGCTTTGTGTGGAAAAGAAATTGAACCAAAAGGCTCCTTACAAACATTTCTATTAGTTTTTGTAAGTAGCTACAAAGTGTATTGTAAAAATTGAGGTCTCTAATAGAAATCAGTCTTACTCTTGCTTTGCAATAAGATGTCCAATCCTTGTGACTTTTCCCAAAGTATACTCTAGTTTGCAAAACACCAAAATTACTAAATAGGGGTTTTGAAACTTCCGGTGCAGCTATGTACTTTTTTATTCTTATTGTTTCTGGAGGACTCACAGTGGGCTGTTACATTTTGACCCAAATATTCTGTGGGCAAAGCCACTGTGTGTCGAGTCAAAGGTGGCTCATGTGACTGCACCTGTCATGTGGAACATAACGTAAAACAGATCTGGACTTGAGTAAGGTTTGCAGGAGGAGGAATGTTTGTAAAGTACCAGAAGGGATATAGCACAACATGACATGAATATGTCATATAATCACAACCTCCTCATCACTTGCATTTTGCTAAATTCTTAGCTGTAGACAACAGGTGGGAATAAATGCCTGCCTTTTCCTGCTTGTTTGGTCTGATTTTGATGGAAGGAACTTGAAAGAAGTTCAGTATGTGTCAAGCTATCAGCTCCTGCCCACCAGGCCATGTAACCACTTGTGCTTGTTACAGTTTTCCTCTGTTCCATTTCTGTGTAAAGGTTTCAACTTTGAGACAAACCAGCCAGAAAAACCTTTCCCTAAGACAGCAACATTAGTGCTTCTTGTTGTTCATGTATTTTTGCATGATTTTAGAAAGCAGAACTGCTCTCTTCATGTGTCCATCAGCACTTCTTCACAAATGAGGCAGTTTTAGAGCCATTACATAGAAAGCTCTTTGACTTCTCTAGGGTACCTTGCCAAATGATTGGTAATCGTGAAGGAAGATTTTGAATTCATTTGTCTTCTCAAGAGCAAGATCTTGAAAGAAGCACCAGCTTGAGGTGGGGAAATGTTAGGAGGCAACAATCATAAACCAAGCAGCAACAGTAAGTGGCTTGGGCTTTGGATCCAGAACAGAAATTATTGGACTCTGATCAGATGAATACATCTTAAAAGCCATTCTCCCCTTGTAACGGCATTATGCTGGCAATGTAAGTATCAGGTCACATTAAGAGATGCTCTGTACAATCCTTAATTTTTTTTGTAGGGCACCTAAACATGAAAATAGGACAAATCTGTGTGTGCCAGACCACAAACCCTTTGAAACTTTACAGGTAAGAGAGGAATTAAAGAGAACATGGTAATTATATAGATAGTAAAAATGTACTGTTTGCACATGAACATTTGTGACCACATACCCCTCTCTTCATTCAAGTTTGTTACTCAGTAAGTGCACTGATAATGTCCTTCAGGGGAGCACAGTGGTTTTTGATATGTCATGGCAGTCAGTGCTCCTCACAAGGCTGTTTGCACCAGTGAAGTGATGCAGATGTGAAGGGTTATTCCTTCTGCTCAAGTTCTCTACATCTGACTCGTGCAATGCAAGCGATTGTAACACAGGAGCAGGGTGCAAGTGAAGGACAGGTGAGATATGGCCCAGGTTGCCAACCTTTCCCCGGCTCAGCCTGCCTTGTGCTGGGGCTTGGCTCCAGAAGCGCTGAGGACCGGGGAGACTGCCTGCCTGCCTGCCGCCCCCGCTCCTTGCACCCCGGGGCTCATGAAGAAAGCAAGCGCCTTCCGACTCGTTCTTACTCATTGCGGGGAGCAAAAACCTCGACCCACCCCACAGCGCCGTGCAAGCAGGCAGAGCAGCGCACGCAGCAGCCCATGTGCTGGCCCGCGCCGTGAGACTGCAAAGCCGGGTGAGGCGCGGGGAAACGCGGGCTCGGTTCCCCGAGCCCCGCTGCGCCTCCTTTTCCGCGTCCATGAAACGGGACGGCACGAGGCTGGAGGAAAGGGGCGCGGAAAGCGCCTGCCGCGGCGGTGCTCTGCTACCTCCGGGGCGGTGCGGGGATCCCAGCGAGGCAGCGGGTGGCTGCCCCGGGCGCGGGGGGCCGTGGCGCGGCTGGCAGGGCAGTGCCGGCCCGCGCTGCTCTCGATCGGCAGCGCAGCACCAAGCCGCTACCTCAGAACTCCAACTCCCGCCGCCGCCCGGCTCCCTCGGCTCACTTTTATATTTGCGCGCCCTTTCAATCCTCAGTGACGTGTCCCGCGCCGCGCCCAATCGGCGGAGCTCTCTGGTCAGGACAATGGAAGGGCCTCGGCCAATCGGCGCGGCGGCTGGCTTGGCGGCAGCCAATGGGGATGGGGCTGTGTTGAGAGTAATGTTACCAGCGTTGAGAGTGTGAGGAGGCTGCGTATCGATCCCGCTCTCACAGCCATTGCGGTGCACCGGGCTACACAGGGACCCAGGCAGCGCTGGGGCCGGGCGGGCGGCCGGGGTAGCGTCTCTGGGGCTCGGGACCGAGCTAGGGCAGCGTGTCGACTGTGACACCGGTGAGTACGCGCCGGGGGCCGCCGGGCTGGCCGGGCGCGCTCGCCCGCTCGCTCGCAGCCGGGCGGTGAGCCGGTGCTGGCCGCCGTGCCGCCGCCGCTGCCTGGCCGCGGAGCGCGGGGCAGCGCTGGCTCTGGCTCCGGCACACAAAGGAGAGCCGAGCTGTGCCCGGGAGACCCTTCCCTGGCGGAGAGACCCCGGCCGGGGCGGGGCGGGGGCGCCAGGGGCGCGGGCGGCGGGCGACTTTGGAAGCGGGGCGGCGGGAGGGAGGGAAGGAGGAAAGGGAGACGGGCGAAGGCAGCCGCCCGGGCGGGGAGCCGTGGTGACCAGGGGTCGCCCGCCGCAGGGGGCGCGGGCCGCGCCGTGCCCCGCCGTAAGCCGCTTACGGTACCTCGCCGTAGCCATCGCTGCGGCGGCGGGGCAGCTGGCGGGCACAGGCGCGGCGACGCTGCGGGGGGCTTCGGGCGGGCCACGCCGCGCTGCCGGCCCCCGGCGGGCCAGCGGGGAACGCGGGGGCAGCGGGGCGCGGGCCGGGGAGCCGCTGGCCCCTCGGCCGCCCGGCTATAACATGGCTGACGGGAGCAGCGAGCGAGAAAACAAGGCGAGCGGCGGCGGAGCAGAGAGGCGCTCGGGCGGGCGGGGGCGCAGTTCGGGGGAACTTTTTTTTTGCAGCCGCCGCCGCTCTCCCGTGCGCGGGGCCCGCGGCCCAGGGGCTGCGCGGCTCTGCGGGGAGCGGAGCGAACGGGGGTCCCCGCCGGGTCTCTGCTCGCGCCGCCGGGGCTCGGGCAGGCGCTGGAAGCGCGCCGGCCTCGCCCCCCTCAGCTCCCCGCTCCCACCCACCTCTCCCCGTCTCCCCCCCCGCCCGCCCTCCCCCGGCTGCAATGGCTGAGCGTGTGCGCCAGGGTAGCGGGCGCGCTCACACAAAGGGAAGGGAAGGGAGGAAGGAGCCATGTTCTCTGCGCGGCGGCGAGCGCGGGCGACGCCAGCAGCGGCCATTCCGCACCGCCCAGCCGCTGCCGCCGCCGCGCCCCCGCGGGACGAGGGTCGCCGCCCTGCCCCGCCGCGGTCCCTCAGCGGGGGTCCCGCGGCGTGGCCTGCCCGCCGGGCCGCGGGGGGTGTGGTGGCGGGGAAAGGGGGAGGGGGGGCGGGCTGCTCCGTCTCCTCAGCGCACAAAATGGAAGGAGGCTCGGCGGCGGGTGACCTCCTCCGCCAGGAGCCTGCGCCATGGCGGCCGCCACCGCCGCTGCGGCGGCGCAGGCCTCGCCTCGCTTCAACGGGCAGGCCTCATGGCGGCGGAGAGCGGGGCAGGCCTGGGGCGGCGCGCCCAGCCGCGGGGGCGCGGGGACGGCGGCCGGGAGGGCGCTTTGTCCCGGGGCTGCGAGCGGTGGCCGGGAGCGGGGTTCGCCGCCTGTGGGCAGCCGCAGCCTCAGCCTCAGCCTCAGCTGCTAGCGCTGGACATGTGCTCGCTGCCCGTGGGCTCGAGCCCTCATGTGAACGCAGAATAAAACTTCCACACCTCCTTCGGCATAACCAGGCTCCTTTTTTTCCCTTATTATTCAATTTTCCTTCATTTTGTCCTCTCCCCCCACCTCCAGCAGGTCTTTTAAGGGACTTGAGAAGTTTTCTCAGCCCCCCTCGCAGGGGAAGCGTCCAAAATGGCGGGAAGGAGGCTTTTAAACGCCAACTCACTGTCGCAGCGCCGGGGTCACGGTGCTTACTCCTTCCCATAGCCTGTGGAACACCCCTGCCCCGTACCCCCGGCCCTCCCGCCTGCCCCCAGCCGCTAGGCGGGCCCGTGGTGCCGGCTGGCTCTGGAAATATCTCCATGGCACGCAGGAGCCGCTCCTGGTTCTTCAGCCCTCTTGTTTACTTGATAGAAACTTCAAACCGGACGTGTTTAGTCACAGAGCAGAAATCTGTTTCTGTCTATCCGCCAAACCGATAGGAAATACTGCTTCTGTGGCAACACGGGCAGGCTGTGCGTGCCACTCGTTTCTGTCTTTTCTCAAGCGTTTCTTTCAATTCCTGCTGAAGAGCTGAGTTTGTCAGTGTGCAAGTGGCTTTTTCCAGGGAGCTATGAAGAAATACTCTGAATGTCTGACTCGGGTGTGAAAGTTCCAGGAAGGTGTTTTCATTCCCTCTCAGTCCCTGAGAGAGTCAGATAGTCGTTGTGGAGAGCAGCTCTGCCATTCGTATGTAAATGTCATACTTTCAGCATCCCTGGCTTGGTTATAACATGTTTGACTGAGCGTGGTGTTTCAATCCTGTATTTCTAGGTACACATACAAAGGGAGAATAGGCTTTTGCAGTATACATAAAAGGAGGATGATAATTTATGGCATACAACATTTAAAAAAATAATACACATATTTTGTAAATGAGCATCT